GCCCGCCAGCAAAGCTGATAGGGAAAATGCCGTTGATGCTCCCGAGCTGCCATTTTTCTTCCCTGACAAAGACTCCATCTGCCACCAAGCCATTTGCAGCTTCCGAGTCAGAATATCAATGATTTCCAACCATTCTACATCGCAGCGTTCACCTTGGTGTCACCTCTACCGCTGTCTGAGCGCTGACACCACAGATCCTCTCTGGGAAGGTCCTGTGGACTGCCAACAAAACTCATCCAGCTAAGTGGCATTTATGTTGCTCAAGAAGGAGAAGTATGGCATTAGCTTTTTTTTCTTAAGATCTGGGATCAAGCAGCTGCAAGGATTCAGAATTTCTGGTTTACTCTAAAAAAGAACAAATCCATGAAATCAGTAGCAAAATCAAGCATGCCTGGTAACGCATCTGGTAGATCATATACAATGTATCATGGCTAAGTCCCTACCACAGCGGCCCAGGTTAAATTCCAACTCATGCTGGTGACTATATGTCATCCTCTCTCTCTCTCCCCTGCCTTTCCTGTCTCTTTCCAGCTAAATTTGAAATAAAACAGAAATGCCAAAACATAATCTTACCCCCCAAAAAAGAAAAAAATTCAAGCCTTCCAAAAAATTACAAGATGACATACTTGGAAGCTTTTCTCAAAAGATGCACAGCAGGATCTTTATTTTGTGATGCACAATGTTGCTGTGAGCTGATGAAAAATCCCTGTCGTCCAATGAAGACGGAACAGCAGGCAGCTGGCCATGACCATCCAAGAAAATTCAATTTTCCTCAATGCCATCTGCACACCTCAGAGACGCTCTTGCAGGCCTACAATCTTCCAATAAGCTCCCAAGTAGACCATATAAGTGATCTCCCAAAACCCAGGCCTGCCTGACCTATCACCCCAGAATAGAAGCATATATAATTAATTCAGCTTTATTGACAACATACTAGCCTCTGTGACTGCAGCTGCCTGAAACTCAAACCACTCTCTGCTTTACTACATTGTCCCAGTAGTCTTATCCATGTTGAGCAGACACAAGTTGCTCCATATAAATCCATACCTCTGCCTTTCCTATCTTAAATATTATATTACTCCTCTCAAAGCAGCAGGCTACAGATCAGCAGAGAAACCTAAGAGTACATAATGAAATAGAGACAATGCCTGAACACCAGCCACTACAACGTGTGCCACCTATGGGTTGATTTGCTCTACATACCAGGAAGTAAGTACTATAGTTGGTGCTTCTCCAAATGGACAGACTACATAAATGAAATGAGACTATAAATTCAATATTTTGTTTAGTTATTTTCTTAGTTTGGCAACCACAGCATTTTGGATCCAACTAAATGGGTCTTTAACGTTAATGTACATCCTCTAAACATGCCCACTTTTAACTGCCGACCAATCCACAAAACCACGTAGAAAGACTTTTTCTCCCTTCAGATGAGCTCTATTCTAGTCTCTCTTTGTCCCTCAATCAGACGTGACTTCATCCTTCATTTAAGAGAAGCTGATAAGACCGGTGAACCATCATCAAGAATTTACTGTGATTTACAGTAATACAAAAATATCAAAAAGGACTGACGGAGAATGTTCTGAAATGGCCTAATGTAGAGAAAAATATCTTTAGAAGTTTCTCTTGTTTTGCAGAAGCAAATATGTCTGGCATTCATTCTATATTTCTAATAAGATATGCAGCAACTTATCTGTTTTTCCCTATAAGCCCCACAGTTTTATGTTCTCATGGTATCTTTGTGTTGTTGTTTAACACATGTAAGTGCAGAACCAGGAACAATCTGCCACTTCAGTCATAAACTGTGGACTGGTCCTCTGACCTGACTATAGTTTGAGATGAAGGATTTGTACATGTCAAGATGATTAATCTAATAAGGCAACATGATGTAACCACTTTGTACATATTGCTGCTATTCTTAGAAGCTAAATATGGCTCTGTATTCATTAAACTGTCTGCCAACAGTCAATGTCAATGCAGAATCCATACAACAAATACATCTCATAGTTTCATCATTCACACGAGTCTTTGATTTGCCATTAACAGAATTCTTTCATCATTTCACTTTTCCTTCCTGCATGTATTTTAGTCCCCTTCTGGACAGAAAAATGTGGAGGGCAAAAAGAAGAGTGGGCTCTTATATATACACACACTACCACATCATATTACATCGCAACAGCAATCTGTTCGCTCTTTTGGCAAAGTCACAAAATATAACCTCCTCTGTAAAGATACACTATTAACTGAAGCATATGAATATTTAAAAATGGCATATCTCAGCCTCCCTCTCTTACACACATACGGAACACACAAAAAGAGTATGCATATTAAAACATACCACTGACTAGTCCATAAAGCTTCCCACACTCTCATTTAAGACTTGGAACTGTTCAGAAAATTATGATACCAGTATGCATAGCCCTACTGTTATATATACACACCATATGAGAACTTCACTGAATATAAATGTCACTGGAAGTGATGGATAACAGGTCCTGCTTCCCTTAGTCTCCCTTAAAAGTTACAGTGTTTTTGCATTTAGGAGGATCTACTGGCATAAATGCAATATAATATTCATAGGTATGTTTTAATTAGTGTATATTAACCTGAAGGGAGCAGGTCCTCCTTTATGGCGTCAGCCATGTCGAACCACCAGGTTTCTACAGTTGCCCAGAATGGACAAACCAACCACTGGCTCTAGATGGGACATTCCGTGTTTTTCAAGACTTTTGCGGCCACCGGCGCTCCTCCTATACGCTTTTTTACGCAATTTGTAACTGCATCGCTAGATGCCACTGAATCCTACACACTGGTCATTTAACAATTCCTCAGAAGACAAGCATGTCTGCTTTGTGTGGAGCCAGACATGCCCTTTGTGTGCTTTGTATCTCCATTGTGTTGAAGTGGTATAGAAATGCCAGCACTGCCTGGCTTTTACTATACAGCAGCTGCAGGCAAATGGTGTTCACTGAAGTGCTGATTTAAATCTCTTGCTGCTTGATTAAAGTTAGTTTAGGTCTCTCTGTATATGTGTTTTCTGCTTATTTCTTCTGGATCAATTTGAAACATTGTTGGGAAGGGTTGGACTATAGCCCAGACAAGTCACAGATCCTTGTATATTTCAATCATACCACCTCTTAATCCTTTCTACATTTTTTACCATTTATTTCTTAACTTGTTTCTGTTTCTTCTGTTCTTTATTTACCTTTCCCCCTATAACATAAGGAGGATGGCCTCACTGGTCATAGCTCAACACTAACAGTTTTATCCAGTTTGTCTGGGCAACACAAATTTTGACTAACCATAAAAAAAGTAAACTTTCATCAGACTTGATCAAACAATAGGAGGCAAAGCAGGACTGATAAACAGGAAAGTGCAGCTTAAACAAAGCAATCAGAGGCAGAGATCACTGCACAGATGCACAGCGTTCAACGACTTCAAAATATGAACATAGTCTCTCAACTTTTAAACACCACTGTTTACTAAACCATTATAAACAAAGAGCTGCTTTCAACATATTCATTAATAAAATATGCATTTAATGACTCAGGCGCATATCAGGGGTATGAAATTAATTTAGAGCAACCTTTGTGTCAGCTTATGGCAAAACAATTGCTGGCTATAACTTGCTAAGCTGGCAGCTGTTTCTGAAACTTATTCTTAAGACCCTGTAGGTAAACTGAAGGTTACTTATAACAGCTATAATAAATCCTTGAGGGATTCCACACACACACACACACACACACACACACACACACACACACACACACACACACACACACACACACACACACACACACACACACACACACACACACACACACACACACACACAAAAACACACACACACACACACACACACACACACACACACACACACACACACACACACACGAAATGGAGAGTGCTCAGGTTTAGAGATGATGGGATTCCTGTGGCGAGGCTGATTTTGCCATTGCCATTTCAACTCAGCTTGTCTACCCGCGCTACAGATGACCTGTCTCTTTCCAGGGTCAGTCACATAAACAGCAGGAGACTTTGTTTTTTCTAGGCTGGGAGGTGGCCCCGTACATGTCATAACCTTTATGAAGCACAGAATGCTGAAATTATGCCATGAAATTTAAGTGAGCCGCTCAACTCACCTTTAGGATTTTATTTTATATCATGCTGAAAAGAGTAGCAAAGACACAAGAGGGATAACTTTGGTAGGATTCAATCGTAGGTAAATGTGAGCACACATCCTTCCAAAATACAGCAACGTTGATCACTAAAGTGTATCTGATTAGTCCACAGTTCCACATCAACATGTTTCATGGCTTTAACAGAGAAAAATTAACTGCAATTAACTGCACTCGCAAGACTGGAAATTAACTCATAATTAGAAGTATTGAAGTTAGAGAAAAACCACATGTCGCACTTTCTGATCGAGTAGACGGCAGGCTGAAGGGAACTGAATTTGATATACCAACCACCTCTGTCTTGGGGCAACAATTCAATTTTTAATAGCAGCCAGGAAAAATCTGTATATGCGAAGTAGCCCAAATTAAAATTTAAAACAAAGCCAAACAATGGCTCCAACCCCACCAATTACCCTTGTTTGGCTCACAGTAATTTATCTTAACATACCCCATAGTCAAAAAAGTTTTCATTTTTTCCCCAAGAGATTTAAATATGTTCTGAAGCCTTGACACTCTAATTCTAAGAAAGACAGGAATTAATTAGATTAACACACAAAATGAGAGCAAAGTGTAATGCAGCACGAACTAATTTCATAAAGGAGGACTTTGTTAAATCTCAACCTAATTGGAAAGTTTTAATCCTATACCTAAATAATACTTTAAAAAGAGGTGCTCCGCTTGGTCCTGCATTTCCATTCATGAGCTACTTTTTCCAATTTAACAAAGCAAACTGGTTTTTCCTATACAAAATCAAAAGGAGGCACTTCAAAGAGCATAATGGCAGAGATGGACAATGGGCAGCTGATGTAACTGAACACTTACTGCATGAGACTGTCCTCAGTTCTGTGACATCACTGCTCTGCACCTGAAACACGAGACAACAACAGTCAGATTTATTGCTAGATTTTATCGATTCACCCATTCAGCATCGTTCCTATCTGAAAGCTCCATGAAAATGAAATAAAAATGGTAATATGGGCCCATGGGCAGATGAGTTATCCATTTTAAACATCAGCAAAAAATCAAACTCCTGCTCCAAGAGACAACGCAGGGCAATGGGACATGACAAAAACACTTGGGAGAAATTGGATTATGGTCTAGTCTACGACAAAAGCAGCTATATAGCCAACATTTTGATTTTGAAGAAATCCAATGACCTTAGGAAACTATCAAATTTATGTCTACTTGAGTAGCAACTGAAACATTCTTTGCTGAAAAATACTCAAATACCAAGCATTAAAGTCTAGTCCCACTCAAAGAGCAACACAGAAATATTTATCCATAATGTTCATCCCCCCCCACAAAGCTGCTCTCATGATCACAATAATGCATATACATTAGGCACTGCAAAACACTTCTGACCATCCACCACATGCACACTATTTATGCATTACCATCTGGGATCATTTTGTTTGGAATGTAAAGGAAATGAATCAGTCCTGAATCACTTAAATCCTTTCAAGTCTTCATACATCACTCAAAGTCACTGTCTCTCTACAACCATAGTATTGAAGGCGCGGTCCTGTATATAGTAACCATAGAACCACAACAAGTTTGAGCTATACCTTTACCTTCTATGTACATCACCCCTCTCTAAAGACTATCCTCTTCGGGATAATACTATTGGAAAATGAAAAAAGGTTAGTCCTCATATGTTAGATTAGAATAATTTCCAATGGTGTTTGACAGCTGAAGGCTGCAACCTTATCCTGATAATCAAGTTTAAAAATGGCTGCAAGCCAACTAATTGTATCTAAGGAGTAAGCTTCCGTCTTAATGGGCTAAAAATGAAAGGTTTTATTGACAGTGTAATGAAAGAAAACTACACAATATTTTTTCTTGTTTTTGAAAGGTGAATATTTAAAAGTAATTAAAATCCAACTATGGAGTGAGATAAGAGAATAAATGTTTTATAAATGATAAACAACATTAATTGGCTGACACCATCACCCATAACTGTGAAGAAAACCAAACACCCTGCACACTGTCAGTCACTTGTATTCACGTTATTAACACATTTCAGTCCTAAATCATACCTGATGAAGGTTTACTGTGATGTTTTTGAAGGGCCTAAAAAAACTATTTGACAGTATTGAGGATTGTTAAGAAAGCCTAATAAGCCAAAACCACATATCTTCAAAACTGAGTTTGCCCAAGATCAAAAAGTCTACCAATGGCTTTCACATAAAGCTCACTTCATATCACAATGACCCACCGGAACAAATTTCATCATTTAAAATGTCTACACAGGAAAAAGTTCAAAACTAAAAAGGCTCTGGATTAAATTAACGGATCTGCCACTTTCATCTGTCCCTTTCATTTTCTGCTATAGAAATGTGGTTACCCTCCCTCTCCATACTTTCTAAAATAAGCTCTAAATATGAACAGTAAACACTGGATTTCTCATAACTTACAAGTGTGGACTCACTTCAGAAGCAGCAACACTTGTTGTGTGTCATCTACAATGCGGGTCACCTTACACTTCCATCTGTGTCATTTTGTAGCGTGAATAATACCAGTGTTAAAGAGATTACTGTCTTCTACACTTGTATGTTTGATTCAATATCATGAGTAAAAAGGTCACTCTCTAGTTTCAAATAATTGCAACACTACAAGGCTGAGCCTCCTCAGGTTACTCTATCTGGCTCTTTGTCATCATTTAAAGAACAGATCATGCCATTGGCCGCCCTATAGAAAGCTGTTTACTAAGTCATGAGTAATAACTAACAGGTGACCTGGCCAAAAAAGGTTCCTTCTTCATAGTCTCATTGACAGTTTTTTTTTTTTTTTTTTACATGATTTGATACTGATTTGTTTTACGACTGGGCCGGTAGCATAGTATCTTTTATTTAATTTGTTAATCTCACCCCCTCAGCTCTGACAAACCAGCACTGTCTCCTACACATTCTGTTAATACAAAGCTTTTTTACATTAGTAACATTACAGTCAGTGCAAACACAGGAAGCAGTGTGACATTCATTTAGTGTTACAAAAAGAAAAGTTGATTGACGTGATGGACGGGTGTAAAAGCATTTGCCTTCCATTGCGATGTCTGACTGTAGGTTTGTGTCCCAAGTAGTCATGATATAGTAATGTATATTGCATGGGTCTAATGCAGAGGGCACATTTTGTTTCATGTATGTAAAATGCTGTAAATACTGTGAAATGACAATAAAAGGCTGATATTTATTTATTTATTTATTTATATTTATAGCCAGTATTGACTTTCACTGACCATGACCATGTTTTAATAAACATTAACCATTGTTTTAATGGCTTTGCTGTACCACAGTTGCCCTGCACTGGACTGGGCGATAAACTAGATGAAAACACAGGAACAGAAAATTATGTTGATATGCTGCAGATCCAATATAAACATTCTTTAAAATATGCTATGAATAAAATCATAACACGGGCTCCTCAATCTGAACTGTAGATAACAAATCAATGCAAAGGTAATTTTTAAGAACCTATACAACCCTTTGACCTGGTCATTGTAAAACCATACGCAACTGTTGAAGAGGCTATTATATGCATATAACCTTTAACCCTGTTTCTAACTACACTCTATGTCCAAGTAAACAGCGGGATGTTGAGACTTCACTAAGAAGCCAAGGACATGATCATCTCACCACACTGTCTGTTTACTGTCCGAACACTCAGGAATGTGTAACTGTGTTAGAGTGATGCTCCAACAGGGATAAAACCATACTGCTTCTTACAATCTTGGCTCTTTCAGGCTTTCATATACGAGAGTGTGTGATGGTTGCGTTGAGACCATTCATGGATGACTTGAATAAAACCTTAGACAAAGATCATACTTTGTATGCTTTATTAAACAAATTGCCACCACACCACTCAGATAAAACACTTCAGAGCATTTCAAGGAGTTGGTTTACGGCTGTACATCACATAATGAGTGGTTAGGTTTGTACCTTTGTTGTGTTTATTCCAAGTAAGAAGTGGCACATTTTCCAAATAAGAGACAGAATTGCAATACTCTCATGCATGCCCTGCCTGTGCAATGTCTCATCGTGTTGAGGAAAGAATATAGTTTAGGTTCACTAAGCCTTAGATTTTGGCCTTTGCTGATCCAAACATTTTAGAGATGAATTTCTTTTCTCCAGTCTCTTATCAGGTCAGACAATGTTGAGTAAAAATTTAATATTTAAAAAAAAAAGTGGCTGCAGCAATATGCTTAGCACAGCTAAAGTGGGAAGTGTTTGTGGCAGCAGTGACCAGATTTTAAATGCATGAGGATCAATAAAAAAGGGAGCTGCTGAGGCACAGTCTTCATGTGAAAGTGTAATGCTTTACAGAAGACACTGTGACTATCTGACTAAGAATTATGAATATGGAGTCAATCCATCCATTCTCAGCCGGCCTGCATATACTGCAGCAAAGGAGGCAAATAAATACTAAACAGCCAAACAAATAGACCAGACCTCTAGCATTTTAAACATCAGCCCCATTAACACAGCAGGGAGACTTCAATCTCAGAAGCATCATTGGTTCAAATAAAGCACTGCGACAAGCATCTCCAGGCGGAGAGAAAATAGACTAGGAAGATGAGTGAAAAAGAGTAATCTCCCTGACATATTCCTAATAATCCACCTCCCTCGTGCCGCTCCCCCCAAGCTCACCCAATCATAAAGTGTCAACACTGACCTACAAAAAGGGACTCCCGTCAAGCCTTACATGTTAAAAAACATCAATCACAACAGACAAAGAGGCTACATTGAATTATACAGTATTAACCTTCAGGGCTTGCATATAAAGACCATAGATTTATTTATGCTTGTGTGTTAAGAGCCTCTGCACTGTTCCTTACAGCTGGCTGCCAAATTGATGAACCTGCTCAGCCCTCAGCAGGAGACCAGCACCTTTGATTAATGAGTGCAAACTTGTGGAAAGGGTACGAGAAGAGAAGAGACAGGGTGAAAATGGGTGAAAACACAATTATTAGCCGTCCTGCTTTTTCTTTCAAAAACGCCAAAAGGAAAAAAGGCACTTTTAAAATGAGCTGAAGGTACATAAAGAGGGGACTCTGGGAATGGTGAGCACAATTCAGCAAATTTAGTTACATCTAACACAACTTAGCAACATAGGAAAAATGACATATTACATCCAACATACAATCGAAACTAGTCTGTGCACTAAAATCCAACAATGCTGATGTGGTGTACTGCTGCTGGAATTTAAGGTCTACAAGTTTATAGTAAGCTGTAATTAAAACATAGTTCTTTAAAGTTATACAATAAATAGTTTGTCAAGTCAATAAATAAAGACTGATTGAGTTAAAAATATGCTTTAAGCTGAATGCTAGGGCTGCTAACATTTAAAAACTGCCCTATGAGCTATTTTTGCCTTTGGGGCCTGGAAGAAGAATGACACCCTGAAATATTTTTAACACTCAAATGCCAATTTGCTGACTTGTTTGATTTCTCAAAGTTAAAATATTAAGACGGCGTATTAGAATCCTAGTACACAGCACTTCAACATTGTTCTCTCTGCAGAGGTTTTCAAGGACATGTGCTCTGAATAAATATGAGGCAAATTTAGTGACCTTCTACCTGTGTTTTGATTCATTGGCAGTTACTGGATGCATGCATAACACATCAAGGCTGTGATCTGATTTATCTCGCTGCCTTGGCTACTGAAGCCATTTAAATGATGGACTTTACAAGGAATCATGTTTATTGCCATTTCACTTAAGACTGTGTGTGCAAAGGGCGTACACTCGTTCATTACTATTAATTATATCTGTAAAGACAAATCAGCTCCACTGTGCAGCAAACAAAAGATGCCTGCCAAAACAAACTAAATGACACACGTTAAATTTACACCAGCAAAAATAAGCTCTGTACACCGTGTGAGCCCAGTTGATGAGTAATGGCTGTGCACCCCACACACACACACACACACACACACACACACACACACACACACACACACACACAAAGAAATGGTGCCGGTTTCAACAATGCAAAAGGTCTTTGTCACGAAAAGATGTTATAAGATGTCACAGTAGGAAAACCACGGGTCTGAACAAATGCTGTTGACATTACTAACACTAACACCTGTGCTTTCCATATGACAAGTCAAGATGTGGCAATTTTGACATGAAATCGTGGGGTAAACACAGGTGTTACCAATGATCCTAATTGAGGTTGTGTTCCATTCAGGTCAAACAGAGTCAAGGCTCTGCTATTGAGCACAAGGCTCTGCTACACTAAATGGAACGGAGCCCTAATTAGTATCATTCATAATACCTGTGTTTACCCTACTGTTTCATGTCAAAATGGCTGCTGTGAAAAAAGTATATCATGTTTACTTTCTGTTTAATTTATTTCGGGAGCATTAGGGCTGGAGGATTGCCCTTAATGTTGCACTTTAAATGTAGTGAAACTTTTGTGCCAGTGCTTGTATGTGTTTAGATTTAAAAAGAAAAATACACTGGTATTCAAATATATATTTAAAAAGGTTTCTTAAAATTTAGAGCCAGGTAAGTAGGCTCAGCATAAATACAACATGGAAGAAATCAGGCCAAATTTAAAAATGGCCTGATTTCTGCATTGGACGTTTTAGTATGTGCTTGTGGCTGAATATTTAGGGCTTTAAGGCAAATGTGTGATATGTCATCACAGGAAGCTGAAAGTGCTTGGATTGCAGTTTTATAACACAACCAATCCGTTTTGAAATCTCATCTCTCTCTCAAGGCATACATCAAACTCCACAAAACTCCCAAAAAACCTCTTTACATTTGCGTGATTAAAATGCTGCTAAACAGAAATCAAGGTTGCATTAAACACTTATTTCCTCCTGCAAAGTTTCCTAACTTTGCCCCAGACAAACACCGTTTAAATAGACAGCGCTAATTTAAATACCCCAAGATGGCGAATGCCTTGTTGTTAATATGAAAGCAGAAAAATGGAGGGTATTGTCATAATCTCAAAGGGTAAATTTCAGCCCAGACCGCAGCTGCAGCATTAGCTGCGCTTTCCTTTAAGAGGAAGCAACAAAAAGAGAAGATAGAGGAGGGAGGGGGGGAGACCAGCGGGCAGCCCCCCCGCTTTAATACTGATAACAACATCATTTAATGTTAGGAAACACGAAGAAGCTAAAAACATTAACATCGCTCACCTGTCTTTATATCCAGTTGTTTGATCTGGTTCGTGACATGTTGTCACACGAAGCTCAAAACCACAACAAGCATTTCACAAGCCAAGACACTACTTTTCTTTTTATATGATATGATAAACTCACATGTCGAGAGAAGGCGTGCTGTGTGAGCTACAACAAAACATTAATAATAATAATAATAATAATAATAATAATAATATTCTGACAAGCTGACTTTTTCCTCATCCGTCCATTAACGTTTGTGGACACACGGTAACGTTATATCCGCAGAGTGGACGAGCTGGCACAACAAAGACAAGATCCATGCTGCAAGGTAATGACAACCCTGAGCAGCACTTGCCTGCCCGCCCGTCCGCGAGCCAGTACCGGTGACATGTTAACGGTTATTAGTTGCTCAACTCTTCAGTTTGAACATGACAACGGTTAAATGCCGAACAAAGTTCAGACCAACAGCACCCGAAAACGCGGTGTCTACTTTCATGTTAACTTTTTTTTTTTTTTTTTTTTTTTAAATCGCCGTGTTGAACTCACGGAGCGGCTTTAAATGAGGCAAGTGTCGGTAAAAAAAAAAAAAAGAAAAAGGGGATGCTACTGGTTTAGCAATAGAACGTTAGCTTAGCTGTTAGCCCCACCGGGCGACAGGAAATTTGTGAAATAACACAAAACTGAACGGACGTCGGTTGGTGATAGCTGGCGAGCCACGGGCTTTACACAACTCCCTCAGGGAAAAGGGGGAGAAAAAAAACAAAACACACACACACAAGACAATTAAACTCACCTTATCGTCGAGAATCCGCGGTGTGTTCCTATTTTTAAAAAAAAACAAAACAAAAAAAACAAAAACAAAACCACCAATTTACTTCCCAGTTTCTTGCGGTGTTTTCTGCGGGATGTTCAAAAAGAGATGAGTGAGAGAATTTGCTCAGTAACAAGAGTCCAGAAGAAGAAGAAGAGAGAGAGAGAGAGAGGAGGAGGAGGAGGAGAAGGAGAAGGAGGGGGGGTGTTTGGGAGTGTGGCTGGATGTGTTGGGCTCTAATCGCAGATTGAAGAGAGACTCTCTCCTCCGGAGCAACTCAAGAGAAGTGACGTCAGCTGAAGGCTTCTACAATGCAAACTTTTGCCCCCCTGCAGACACCCTGTCATCATATCTGCAAAAGGTAGGCAAACCTTAGGCTGCAACTCATGGCTTTTTTTAATTGTAGAGCAACCACCAATTTGAAAAGTAATGCAGTTTTTTTTTTTTTTTTTTTATTAAATGATGATGCAGGCATTGTCAAAACTTTATTGGTTCATGATTTAGTACAACAAAGGTGGGTTAACTCCCTCACAACAGGTGCACAAGTTTCACCACATAACTGGTGTGACATTATCATAGAGACATTTGATTTAAAATAAGATACATATCTGTATAAGTGACCTATGGCATGGTGTACTATTGATTTGTCTTATTCAAAATAATGATTAAAGGCAGACTGCTTGTTGAATTTAGTTGTAGATCGTAGTGCACACACCCACATAGTTTGTTTTGTAATTAATAACCCAAAGGAGGCAGGCACAAAAGGTTTTTGCTGACATTGAGCAAGGAGTATGTGAAAGTAAAACTGTCTGACAAAAGATCTTTTTGAAGATTTTATGGTGCTTGAGTTGGTGTATGAGTGAAGTTCAGTCAACTGGGGAGGAAAAAAAACCCAGACATCAAAACAGGCTCATCCAACAACTAACACAATAAAAGATCAAAACATGCAGTAGTTGTAAGAACAAAAGGCAGTAGCGATAAGTTAATACTAGTCAAAGAAGGATGTAATTAGGATAGCAGTGCCGGTTAATAAATAAGGTGCAAATGAATTTAAATGCTTTAAACATAAATGTTTAGTTGTCTTTGCACCTGCCCCTGTCGAGTCTATACATCTGCCTTAAAGGTAGCAGCAATTCAGTTCAGACCAGAACCAAATGAGGCTCAAAACACCATAGAAAAACTAATAACTAGGCATTAATGTTTTGGTGATGGTTGAAATTAAGTAAGTAATGCAATACATCCTGTTCATCCAATAAAGTGACTGCAGTCACAAGGACCACCATCTGCCCTTTTTTTCTCCTGATCATTAAGCAAGCATTCAGTCTACGACAGAAAATGAGGTGCTTTTTATCGTTATACTCAACAACAAACATACATTTACAGCACAGTGTAACCAAAACAATGTATGATATCGCTGATGTGGACTGATGTAGTGCTGTAGATCTTTAAATATCACAAATTATATATGACTTGCTAATGAATTGTCAAGATCAACATTAGCATTTTCTGGGAGGTTATAATCAGAGTAATGATGAAACAAAGAGTCACTTGTAATTACAGTACATTGCTCCACGTGTGTTCTCTTCTGAAAAGAAGGATGGAGTGGATTTTAATTCGTGGCACTTTGGCCAAAGGACGCTGTACATGAAGTTGAACTAATTGGATACAGTAATTAAGGCACAAAAGCACATTGATGTGGAGAGAAAAAAGAAAGAAAAAAATCCTCGATCAGCATTTGTAATTTAAAACAGGTTTATTTGCTCGTTCACCATCCCTTGTGCTCATTGATTTTTCTCTCTGTTGTCATTTAACACTGCAGTCACAGGAGCTGCTGACTGACTGGACTGAGTGAAACACACGCCTGGCTGGATCAACACACATGGTGAGGGAGGGAAAAAAATGATTTGATAAATTCAGTCAGCCGAGCCACAGGATACCTGGGTTTTTAAATGTATTGGACAATCTTCATTAGAGAGCAGGAGTGATCAGTGCAGCGTCACTTTCAAAAGCCTTTTTTTTTTTTTCCCGGCCATGATTTTTCACATTGTACATTCAAAATGTCAGCCTATACCTTGGTCATTTGTAACATAATAAGTCGCAGTCGATGGGCTGCAATGCAGCAGCATGCTGGGGGAAGGGCAAACAGTCTGTCCCCTTTAAAGGGATTTTTTAAAGAGTCTTGATTAGAAAGTATAATGAGATACCAAAGACACAGCAAAGATGATCTCTCTAGAGACTGGTGGAAAACAAATTAAGATGGTGCTTTTGTTTTTAATTATTATTTTTCTATCAGTCCGTAGAAAGCTCAGTATTACCCCTAAGGCACAGGAGTTGGATTCACTGTCATTGATTTTTTTTTTCTTCTTTCCCTGACATATTTAAATAATACAGATTTTAATCATGTCAGCACACAATGCTCTGATCCCTTTAACACCAAAGCCTTCCAGTGTGGCACATGCATTTGATTTAGAAAATGGCATGGTGTCTGAGCTAAAAAAAAAAAACTGGGTACGCTCATCGGTTAAGTTTGCACCTGTGTGCATGTGCGCATGTGTGTCTGACAATCCCAAAATCTCCCACCAGATATAAAAATGTAGGCCTTACTCAGAGTCACACTGGATCTCCTTTGGATTCGCATTTGTTTGCATCAAACACATGTAAATATTTGGAATTCTACTATTAAAATTCCGATAAAGAAAACAAAGTCAGGTTTAAGCATTTATATCATAGCCCTGTAGGTGGTAAAGAAGTGTTGTGTCTTGACATTAAATAGAGTATACTGCTGTCAGAGAGCAGTCATCTAAATAATGGCCTTTGTTTTCCTCTGTTAATTGGAGCATGTTCCAGGATAGTGAATGGGGGAGAAACATGAGACTTCCAGGACATGAGAAACAGATGCTCTACACTTCTGTGCACACCTTTTCCCAGGAAAAACAGGAACATGAATAGAGGATGAGCTGAAGAGCAATAACTGATATCTAGTAGAATCCTGAGAAAAAGAGACGTGGGGTTGTTGGTGAAACCAGAAAAACAGGAACGAGTTGGCTTGTATATTTACACAAAGGGCCAGAGTCAGTTTTTTTTTTTTGTTTTTTTACATGTTTAAGACATTGTGAAGTCTATCAGAAAGCAAAGATGTTGTTCTTGTTCTGCATCGTATATTATTGACACATAACTTGATAAATCGCAGGCTCCATGAACTTATGTCTCGTAATCCGAGCGTGGCTCTCATTTTCATTCCATCTGTCACGCTACTGTATGTCATATCTTATTCATGCATACCAATGTCCATTTTAATTAGTCATTCTGGGTCAGTGTAGACCTCTTCCTGCTTCAAGCAGTGGTGTGGCAGATGTGTGAATGAGGTTCATTTGCCATTATTTGAGTGAAAATAGGCCATTACAGCCATTATGATGAGACAACAGTCGCTCAGTGATAATAGCACGGATCCCAGTTTAACAGAAAAGACGCTTTAAGGGATGTGACGGGATAAATCAATGAAGTTGCAAAAAAAAAAAAAAAATGGTTTTACCTCAAAAGGTTCATCATAGATTCAATTCAATTATCTCCAAAATATCAAATGAGGCTTTCAGTGTATTAGTGTTACAACAAATAATTATCCTAATTATCATAATTATGCCTGAGCAGAAAAACAAATGTAAGAAAACCTTCCCTTTTGTATGTCAGTATACATTTTTGTCTGTTGGCGACATACAGGAGCTACACCTTTCAGTAGCAGTACAACAAATCAGAAATCTATGTAGGTCCGGCCGACCTTTACACAGCCTGCTAATCAGGCTGAATTGCCATTTTCGTTCTTACATCATTATTCATTCCTAACTAATTAAGAGACTTGCAAGCATACTAGAATGTGTTCACTGTTGTGGGAAGAAAGGAACATTTACAATCGCACTTCAAGCTTTCTGAATGTATCATTCAGATGGAAGCTTCTATTCACAGCAATCGGCTTTTGTATCTCGAATAAATTATGTTTTGTTGCATATTCATGAGCGTGAATCACACTTTGGTCTTTTAAATTTGAGTTTTGAAAATAAATATCTGCTGAAATCTAACAAATTAAGTCATTTTAAAAGACCCCTTCTGTGAATTTGACATGCTGTACATAATTGAAGTAATGCATGTTCAAAATCAGCATCCTGTGTGTCTCTAAACGGTATAAGCCTCTTCTACTCCAGTGTTTACCTTTATATACAGTATATACAGTCATATTGACATACAGTAAACAATTGTGTGACAGTTTTTTCTAGTCATTATTATATTAAGACCTATCAGTCAGTTCCAGACTAATAGATGTGTTTTGATTTTTTGTTCATATTTGAATTAGAAAATTTGCCTTTAAGTACTCTCTTTAAGTATGTAACTCTTATCTAATGTCCCTAAATGTTTGGTTATTCTAAGAGGAAAACAATCTATCATTTGAAACAAGCAATAGTTTAAAATGTCCAACCACACATAACCCCACACGTCTTCTCCAGTCCAATTCTGCTGACATTCATCTTGCATATCATGTTAATAATTGGCCACCACCACGAGACTACATGACTTCCTTAATCATCAAGAGGACTTTCACCTCAGTTTGGAGACAATAAGCCTTTAATAACTCGTATTACATGCATTATATTTACTTTATGTTCATGTTTTAAAGATATTTGTTACCTCTAGACTTTAGTATTTCTCCCACAAACTCTAATAGGTGCGTCCTTTTTAAAGTTAGTTTTCTTATAGATTGCTGTCCAAACTATAAATATTCTCACAACATTGTCAGTGTCTCACAAACTGGATCTCTTCATGATTGTGGACCTCACTGATTAGGAAAGAAAATCCCTTCCCTGCAATGTCAGTGACAGAAATGTGATTCACTGTCCCACCTTGTGGCCACATCTAGAAATGACCTGGAACGCTTCGGAGGAAAAGGTTATTGTTATGGTTCTCTGTTAGTGGGCTACATGAATAAATGTTGGTCCACAAATGCCTTTGATAATTCAAGAGTAGATCAAGAGAAAGTACTGAACAAAAAGAGGCACATGCATAAAGAGAATTTGTTAGATGACAGACGTCTTGGAAGTCTAAAAATAGATGTGCTTGAATGGAAAGAGAAAAAAAAATCCTGCTGATTTCTCTCATTTCTGTTTCATCTTGGCCCACGCTGAGATGTCAACAGAGCCGCTGGACATTTGGAGGGAGTGACACTTCTCAGATGACTCAGATGATTTAGATATCCTCTCAGAACTAATTAGACTCTATCCCCGATTTCAGTGTCCTAATTCATCATTTTCTCCTCAATTATGCATTGACATATATATCAAACAGAAATGCTCTATATAGATCACACAGAATGGAAAGAAGTCCTTTTTTCTAATTTTTGACACCGTTGGACAACCCAAGGCTGGAAGGCAACATATTGCTGGCTGCATACTAATTGAAATGTTTCCTGTTGATGCCTAACAGAACCTTCTGAGTCAGATCAACTCAATGAAAGCAAAAACAAGCGCTTCTTATACTCAAACATACTTTATTATGAAAAACACACAAGGGCTCAGATCCTGCCAAATCAATCTTAAATATTGCACGAAAGCATCCATGCTGTTAAAATGGCATACAGTATTAAGAGGGGTATTATACACAATTGTAATAGCGTCTCTTGGCAGCATTGGTTAAGGACGGCTTTCCACTTCATTGTCTGCTTTATGGACAAATCTACATTTACACACGTGGAGTAACACTGCAATTGTTCATACTCTTGCTGGGCTCTTGTTTCGTGTCAAACTATTTACATATGCCCTTGACAGCCTGTGATTGAGAATTCCTGTTTCTTTGAGTACTGCTTAAAAAGGACCACCTCCGATTTTACACATAAAAGGTCAGCTTATTCATCATGGTTGTATAATTAATAGTGTGCATCTGGAGGGAGCTTTTTTAAAAAATCAGTATATTTTGATTTGTGTATAATCATCTTAAAATAGAAATTGCTATGTTTTTGTTATCTCAGAAAGGTCGCCTTCCGTGGAGGCCGCCACATTGAACCGCCATGTTTCTACAGTAGCCCAGAAGGAAGAAACCAACTCAGGCTTTAGATTGGGGTATTTGTGCTTCTTGCGCATTTCAGAGCCACCATAGTTTCTCCTTTGTGCTTGGGAGGGGAGGGTGGAGCAAGGGAGTTGCAATCTGCAACTGCACTGCTAGAGGCCACTAAATCCTACACACTGGACCTTTAAAGTCTGAGAAAATAACTACTGATGATGTTCGTAGGGGGGTTGTAGACTACGATTAATCGGTTGTATTATGTGAAATGTAGAATTCTTCCTATTTGGAGCACGATAAATATATAGACTAAAACTCAGGATGTCTCAGCACCAATTGATCATTCTTTTTCCAATGTCCCTCTTGTTAGTCCCCAAGTTTAATGCAATAATAAAGTCGCCGTGTAACAGTAAATTTCTGTCTGCTCACAAAAAGTATATTCATTTAATCTCACCTTCTTTGAGTGAGCAACAGTAAGTTACTTTTAGTATGCAAGACACAAATAATGATCCCCAAGAAATGCGTGGTGCCTCATAATGACCTGATGTTACATCAAATCACAGATGAAACGTACACCAGGCCACAGTTGCAGAAGAAAATGCACCAATCTGAACAAAAAAAAACAGGTGATTCTTTGTTAGTACAGAATAGATGACAAAAAAGCAGAAGTAGTGAGATGTTTGTGCCACAGTGAGAAGTTAGTATTAGAGTAAGCCTGGAGTCGAGTTGTCTTACAATCATACTATATTATTCTGAGTCATGACATTGTTAACCCAAAACTACTTCTGTAACTGTTTTGTTTAGAGCGGACTTCTTTTTGCATGAAGACCCAATGAGGAGGGTCTGATTGCTTCCTATTGTGGAAGAGAGAGAAAGTTCTCCTATGGCACACTGTCAGTCTCCTCAGACTCCACCAGGCAGGACTGGTCTGTTTCCAGGACTCGGAACGGAGGGTGGTACTCGAATGCCGTGAGCATAGTGGAGCCAACATTGTGCTTCTGGTGCAGGAACCAAATAACTGCTGAGACTCCCATGATAGCTACCACGCTGAGAACGACCAGGGCGGACAGCAGTGCACTGGGCTCTGAGGAGCACAAGTAACAATGCAAGGAAGGTCACGACTATAAACACAAGGATCAGAATCACAATCACAGAGGAATAAGTAAAGAAACTGCAAAAAAAGGTTCAAAGGTCGACTTACTTTTCTTGGCTTCCTCTGCCTCTGAAAAAAACAACACAAAACGCATACACAGTGAGGCAAGTGGGGAAAAAGAAACACATGTTCTGAAGCCACTTTAACTAAAATCCTTCCACATATTCATGGATTAGTCAAAAATAAATAAAAAAATCTTACTCTGATTTGTCTCACAGATCACTCCGTTCTCCACTTCGTCCAGGCAGCTGACGTTCTCCCACTTTCCTGTGTTGGTGTGCAGAGCCACACATGTATCCAAGGGCACGAGGTCTGATGGAGAACTGTCCTCCCAGTTAGTGAATCGCACAGGTTCATCTTCAAACCACTTCATTTCTTCACCTGACAAGATACTCCAATCAGTAATCCACTATCCCAGGTAATATCAACCATGTAATGCTGGCATTATAGTGTGCTGCAATCAGCTGTGTTACAATACAACAAATAGTGTTCACAAATATTCAATATAACAATACAATATTCACACTAAGTGTGATTTTAGCTGTATTTCGGGTAGCTTAGCTTCTCCCACAGTGCCTCCATTTAGTGCTTAAAAAGGATTTCCTGAACAGGGCTGAAAGACGAGGATGAGTCAGTGTTATACAAGCATTAAAAATTAGCTGGCACTAGCAGGAAATAGAGGACAATCTAACAGACAGCACTTAATGTTATCTAACCTGTTTCAAGTAAATAGAGAAATAACCAAACACAGAGAGCAGACAAAAAACTGAAGGTAACTCGAGTTAAGATTATCTTTACTCTTGAGTTGAGATTGGATTGACGTCCGAAATAAGCTTTCACACTCAATTTTTAAGCCGATATAGATAAGAATATATATGCATGTAGATAATATTGTTGAAATAAACAGTATGCAGAACCCCAAAGAGTTTGTGATCGGTTACAGAAAACGATCCATGGATTATTATTAACATCTGAATCAACACCCTTTAAAATTCTGTGTTGATTTTCCACCTACTTACCTCCAAACAATTGTAAGAAGCAGCTGTATGTTTTTTCCTTTTTGATTGCCATTGAAAATCTGATTTTATCTTTTGGAAGTTAGCCAGCGTATTTTCACAGTCTTCCGGTCACACGGTACTTACTGTCTGTGTCATAATACATTCCCAGCCATACGTTGACCTTCCCTTTCCACACCTTTGGACTATATTTAATAACGAGGTCATTCTCGTCAGCGCTCTGGATGGTCAAAAGCTCTAGAAAAATCACAGCAATGTACAACAACAGGATCACACGCATATCGAGAATACAGTCCATTTCTCATTTTGTCTTTTAGGAAATATTAGAAAAGAAAATGTCTCCGGTACCAAATCCTTGGCAGAGGGTTTTTGCTCTCTCAAAAGTGTAGCTTTTGATGCTGTCTTCTTCTCCATGGACGAAGTGGTAACATCTGCCATGAAACGGCACCCAAGTGCGTCCGTCTGCGGGGCAGTCTGAGGAAAAGCATGGGACAAAACATGGTGACGGAAAGATCTGGCACCTGACCTATGATCTAAATTTCTTTTAGCTGCGTGCGTCTGTGTAGGATAATTTAGATCACTGGTTCCCAACCTGGGGTTTGCCAAAGACTCACAGGCGGTTGCAAGGGCCTTCTTGATTTTAAGGAGTGTAAGAAAACTTTAATATGTATACATGTATACACGCACCGTAGGCCTATAACTTTCATTCCCTTCTGTAAAAAAACAAACAAATGTGTTATTTTTAAAATTTAGGTACTTACTGAAGATAAACTGGAAAAAAGATAAGGGCACTGTGAAAAGCTGAACACAAGTTTTCAGAGCCTTCACTCTCTGCTTAACAGCCTCATTAAAACAACCAAAGAACTTTATAGAACAATGGCCAAGTGGCACAGACACAGCCTATTAAGTACGTATGATTGTTCAAGAACAATACAGAGAATTATAGTCCTTTTCACATATTCATAGGAAGTATAGTATAGCTATAGTATAGTATATTATAATATAAAATAACCATAGAATAATTCACAGGGGTCATCAGTTAACTCAATGATAGAAAAGGGTCTGATATAACCAAATCATCATTTTAAGATGCTGATACTGCTCTGTACCATCATGTTTGGTTGGATGGCAGTTAATACCACTCTACAAGCCCTTATAGACTGTACTGTCTGTACAGTCGAATCCACCCAGTCCCTAGTTTCAACTTGTGACCATCGTTCCTCTTTTTCAGTACAGATTGTGTCTCTTTCACAAATGGTGACATAGACTGTTCCTTGAATAGTTTTTTTTTAATTTACCTTATATGGCTGTCTGTAGTTGCTTTACTCACACATCTGTCAGACTTCTCTGAGATATCTGTAGCATCTTTTTTTATATCTAGTAACAAACTTACTTTACAGCTTATACATTTCCTATTAGTGTGTCCATTCATTTAAAAGACAATATTGACAGTCATTGCTCCACACCTAAGTCTATACAATGGGACTGTGTGTGAGTTCGTTGCAAATTAGCCACCATTAAACGACTCCAGGCCATATTCAAAGAATGCTGTCCTGCAATGCACCAAACCCAAGAGGCAAAACAGGGACCTTAATGATTTATTTGCGTTTCGCAACACAGGCAAGGACACAACTTTGTATTCGGCCTACGTGTACGTGCAGTGTGTGATAGTTCAAAAGTTATGTTGCCATAAGCAAAACAGCAGTGTCGACATTCAGGAAAGTTAACCTACCTGTCGTCAAAATGTACTCCTCGAGTAGAAAAAAAAAACCCCACCAGTAAACAAACATGAAGGCACTGACTAACGCAGGCCCACGCAATGCTAAATTCAACCATAGCTAACGTTATGCAAAACATATCACGATAATGTAGCTCGTGAGGAGCGAGGACCGAGTTTTTGAATCTCTCTTACCTCCCGTCAGACCCAGCCGCAGCTGTACACACAACACAAACACACAGCACAGCAGTGAGCGAGGACCGTGGCTGTTCTTCACTGACTCCATGACGGCGAACATACAAAAAGAAATCATGTAGCACCAAAGTAGTTTTCAGACTGTTGCACGACTCAAGTGTCCGCAGCGAGATCCCACCCACACACACACACACACGCACGCACGCATAAAAAACACACGCTCGCGCAGACACACAAACATGGCTTCAACACAATATTAGTAAAATACCTGCACTAATTTCACCTACATTGTTTTTTTTTGTTGTTTGTTTTTTTTACAACAAGTTACTGTTGTTACTTGTTATGGCATTGCGTGGAAATAACTGCCGAACAAACAAACACCTGTATTTGTTTGTTGATTTAAACACTATTACCTGTGATTTTATTTTTAACAATCTAGCACGTGGATAATTATTATTTTCTGTTTAGAAAAGCTTCCTTGGTTGTGTTACTACGAACAGAAACCAGAGTCCTCCATGATCTGATTATGTTGCACACAGGAACCTCTAGGTGGTGCTGTAAGCGCAGTGTTCATCAGATTGAATGAAGTTTCTGGATTATGTTGATATTGTTTACCAGATTCTACTTCTGAATGTTATTTAGATCTGTTTTTAAATGTCCATCTCATACTCATCATAGTGATAGGTGTGAGGCTCCTTATTTGCTCCCTTTAAATGTTGGAAACATTGTTTTTTAACTGGCACGTATTACGCAGTTTATTGGTGTAATTTATACTTAATCTTTATAAAAAGCAAGTACATTTACTCATGTACTGTACTTTGAGGTGCTTGTACTTTACTTGAGTATTTTCACTAAATGCGGCTTTATACTTTTACCCCACTACATTTTAAAAGGGAAATATTGTACTTTTTAATCCACTATTTTTATTGAATATGACACATTGTTATAGATTGAACTACTTAACTGTAGCCTATATAAAATAATTAATTGATTGATTGATGAGTTGATCAACAAATACATAAAACTGTTCTGATAACTGACTATTCAGTTATGTCATTTTTTTATGCAGAAATGTTTTGATTTCATAAATTTCCTTTTAATACATAGATCATTTTAGAATGAGTCATCAACATTTTTTGTTGTTTTCCAGGAAATGACAAACTTTAAAAATACCCAAATTTTCCTACAGAAGGACATTTTTGCTATTGTTGGGTAAAGGCATATAGGTGACATATAACCCTAGATTTGTGATCTGATAAAAACACGTCAATTTCGACTTCATTGGAACTTTAACATTTTCAATGCAGTTTCACTTTTTTGCAGTATAGAACTAGTACTTTTACTTAATTAAATTAACTGGTAATGCAAATAATTGTCTTTTGTTGCCCTAAATATACAGTATTACTATAATATCTAAATTTGATGTCAAATTATGGCATCAAAAAGTGAATTAACAGCTCTCTACAATTGCCTCAACTAAAATTGAAGACTGTAAGATCAGAAATGTTTATTATTGGGGTAGTGTAGTGGGTTGCATTACATTGCATTGTTGTGTCCACCCCCTGTCTGTCATCTAGTCTGTCATTATCCAGTCAGTCTGATCCAATAAATAAGACAACAATGCTGCCTGAATAAACAAAATCAATATGTTTTTGTTTACCTTTTAGGGCATCATTGTACAGGAAAAAGCAGTTCCTCACACACTACAGACATTTAAATGAGTAGGGATATAGGATGTTTCCTACCTGAGCAGGTGAGGAAGGAGACAGCAGAGAACCTCAAGGGCAGGATGGTTGTTGTTCAAGGGGGGAATGAGAGGGGGTTTCAACTCCACTGCTTGTAGGCGCAGGTGGCACAAACACAGACAGCTGGAGCGTGAGTTTTGCTCCTCGTCTGGAGCTGGTGGCTTCCCGTAGGGTGGCACAACACCCTGCAGGATACCGTGGGGACCCATCTGCCATGGCAAGGCCTGCTCGCAGACGCCCCCATCCACCCACCATACCTCCTGATACCCGTAACTCACCCTGTCCAGGCCATGCATGTTGTCAACAATACCATGTGACAGTGTTGATATAGTCCTTACCAGGTCCTCACCCTATGGGTTGAAAGCATAGCGATTCATGAATACTGGTAGACTGATTTAGCAGAGTTACAGTGCAGACACATTAACTTGATGTTTAGAGGAATACGGTTGCAGAATATGTTTCCTTTATTAGTAGTGAGACAAGGTGGACTTTAAGTTCAGTGCTTATAATTGATGGCTTAAATTAACTGTCTGATAGCTATTTAATTTAATTAATTTAGCTGTAGGCTGAATACCTTTTCGTATATTTTATTATTTTGTGATATACAATAAAGAGACTCCACATTTTAGAGGAAAGCATCACTTTTGATTCATGGTGACTTTTCAGTTCATAGAAAAATATACTCCAGCCAGCTGTAAGAGTTAATAATGTCTTATTAATTAATTCACTCAGCGAATATCTTGCAGACTGGTTTGTATGTATGTGTAAGGTGGTCACTGGCATCTGCTCTCTGGGAGAAACTGACAGCCAAGTGACCTTTGTCAGCTGCTGCTTTGATGGGGGAGCTAAACAGATGTTAACCCCAACCCTTTTCTTCTTCCATTTTTGAACATCAGTCTGAAGGAGAACTGCTTCAGTGTCTTTAATCTCAAATCAAGTGGACAAAAAACACAGAATGCCAGAACAGAAGAGTAACCTTGGATGTGTTGTGTACATTTATCCATCCATTGTTTTGTCTTTTGTCTTTGCCAATCTTCATGTTTTGTAAAGATAAATCAAACGAGACATTATTTTCATTCTATCTCATGAAAAGGTCATTCGTGAATGCACCCATATTTTCCAAGTTCTGGTAAGGCCAGATTCCTCATTAAACATAAACTGAATGTGACAGACAAAGTGAGAGACTGTGCTTGGATTTCAGCCCTTTAAAGCTGCAGCTAGCCAACCATCATCATTTATTTTTCAACCACTTTAAAACTGGCAGACTACACAAATGATGTATTTACATGATTTCATCATTAACCAATGTAAGGTAAGCAACTGGCTATATAAGCTAATAAAGACCAGACTTAAACAACTTAAAAGTTGAAATTTTTTATTCAAAAATGTCAAAGAAATGAAAAGAATAAACTTTCGGAAACAATCTACTGAAAAAAAAAAGTCTTTGGCTTTAACAAACACTACAAAACAAGAAAACAGAGGAAAGATTCCTTAAACTTTACATACAAGTTACCACTGGCAATTGTGTGGCACGAGTAAAAAAAATAAAAACGATAAACTTTCATATAGCTCTATGAAAATCTCTTACTTCCTCAAGCTGTCTGTACAAAAATCTTCATAAATTAGAACATTTTCATATAACTTAATGACTGTTCAACATGGTGGTTGTTTTAAATTTATTTTTGATGCACCTCTGCAACTCTTGACCAGATACTATGGCACTCGGTTCAGACACCACTAGCAGCATAAACCTCACAAGACAGTATTACTTCTCAGTCTCAGGCATTACACAGAAATCTCAAGTATAATCATGGTGGCCCTTTACATGTGTTGCACACCCTAGCTAACTACAGAGGAAATGCTGCTGTGACTTTATCTAGACCCAAGACAAAGCAACAAACATGTTAGTTAAAAGGACAGATCCAGTGAACACAACACAAGCTTTGTTGTCATCGTTGGTCTTTAACATCTTAGATCAGCCTCTGAAATCTATTGCCATAAAAGCAGCAGCTCTTTTAAAAAGTATGAAACTGAATGTGTGAACACCAGTAGAAACGTGTTGTCACACCCCCTGTGATGATTACAACAATACATCATAAAAAAAAAAAAAAGGTTTGAAGAAAATCAAAAAGTATTCAAAACAACCTATAAGGAACAGCTGTATGTGGCCAGCTCCTGAGCGTGGCATTTGGTCTGGAAGGGCGGGCTGGACCTGCTAACCCGACCTAGTACAGAGGAGAAAGAAAACTCTGAGGTAGATAACTGGTCTGGCTGACCACCAGGTCGAATCTTATTATAGGACACCAGAATCAAAAAGCCTGCTTAAATCCACTATGATAATAAAAATAATCAGACACATTGTTTTCTTTTAGTGCTATGTCATATGAGATTGCTAGTGTAGCACTGTCCTTTCATAGTTAACTCATCTTTACTATAATGTCGCAAGTATGAAATTCATCTGTGGCACTTGTTGGACCCAGGCCTTCCTTCATGCTTGTGTGTGTGTCCGCGTTGTACTAATACCTATGACGACTGCATAAGATATACAAAAAAGGCACACTGTCCAAACTGCAATCTAGTTTGCAGAGTCACTTATGTCCTGGTTAAAGAGTCAAATGATGCTATTTCCTCAGTGTACTAGCTCACAATCTTTGGTGAAGTAAACTACAACTGAAAGTGCCAAGTTTGTTTGTTTCCTATCAAAGAGCGAGGTGCAATAAAATATACATATTCATCTTGTTTTACCCCCCAACTCACTGAACTTTTGCCTAAGTTCTATTACAAGGCTTTGATGCGTTTTTTTTTTTTTTTGCACAATCATAAGTCTATGTTTTCCTGTTAGTTTTTCAAATAAAAGTGAAAAAGACACACCCCATCAAAATAACAATTAACATCACCCAAAAAGACAAAAACACGATCAACAAACAAAATGCATTTAGCCCCTTCTTATTCCCCCACCCGACCAAGTTCAATTTTGGCTATTCTACAATACCAAGTAATCAAAAAGGCAAGATTCAAAAGTTGACCTTTCAGCAAAATTTCTAACACATTCCAACATCCAAAAACATGTAAGGTCTTCTTACTAAATAAATATTACATCCGATAAAATCATCAGAAATGTGGAGTCATTTCATTCAAAACATTTTCTCTAAGATTTCTTCTACTTTTCTATGAGTTTTTGGGAGGGGGGAAGCAATAACACATTGATTTCATTAAAAAAAACTCCTACATAGCTCATTTCCATGGCAATAGCTCTCAAAATTTGTAGCTTATTGCCGCTCTCTGTGGTGGTCTGTACAACTACTGTATCAAAACTATGAAGGCAAAATTTTTAATCAGACAGCAAGATCAATCTAAAGTACTAAGAGAAATTACTTTACAAGAAAACAACACTTAACACTTCACCATAGCAACACTCACACAGCAAGCACAAATACATCATTTGCAAAAAGTCTGGCTGAAAAAAATCTTCAGAAAAAGAAAAGAAAAAAGAAATCTGAAAATATTAACAAAAGACATTTACTATCATGCACTTTGAACAACTAGTCACATGATTCTTTCTTGTATCCTGTAGCAATCCTTGGTAAAAAATAAACGTTTTCTAGTATGAAAATAAAACTTTTTCAAAACTTTCTTTTAAATATAATTTGAATCATTTGATGAACTCAGATATTCTCTCGGAAAATGATACCAAAAATAGTCTCACTTAAACATTTGCAGAACCTGTGCAAAACAGTGAAAAGATCCTTAGCATCCATTGCATTTGTAGACAGGATTGTTTTAGCTGTTGTCCAAATGTTACCTCAGCGCTACTTGGTTTGTTGGTAGGAATACGGGGAATGATTGCCAGATGAGTCCACTTGTGACTGTGCACCATTTTCCTGGAAGAGAAAGTAAAATAAGTCTTTGCCGCTGCTGTTTTGCCAACAGTGAGACGTTGTTTAAAATGAAGACAATGTTTTACACACATCAGGCTGCTATGGTGTTAACGCACATACCTCTACAGGAACAGTTGATGTCTGCATGTGTGCATATTGTGGGATATATGCTCCTTGCATAGCTGTGTTAGCAGCCATAAACTGCACAATGAAGGACATAGAAATAAAGTCATTTATAGAAGATGCTCATGATCTATACGTTATACGGTTTAATGATTTTTAACACCTTATTCTCGAATAAGCATGTGTGAACTCATTTCTGATCCCATGAGTTCTCTTACCGTTCCTGCACTGCCCAGCGAGAGGTGACCCATCTGCTGTGTAAGTGGGGCCATCATTGAAGTGGGCTGTAGTGACATAGATGGGTCCATAGAGGGCGATATCACTGTACCCTGGAAGAAAGGTGTAGGCAGTTGAAGGTAAATATGCCTCAAATATCCTCCTGAATGAAGACAATAGAATTATGTAACTGAATAATGAGGTTTTAATTTTGGCAAAAGAGAAGATGAGTAACCTTAAACGTCACATCTAATGCCCACAGCAGAAGGTGAATAGCCACAAGTTAGGCAAGTGGTCTATACGCATCTTTGCTGGCCTGATGCATCTAGCAGTGATTTCTCATCTTTACTGGCTCATTTTCAAAACAAGAAAAGACTCTTCGCTCTCAATTCAAACCCATCTGTTATAAAATATTCGGCATCTGTCATCAAATACACAGCTTTACATAGCCTCTCCAAAGCAGTTGTTTTTACATTCCTATACAAACACTTTAGTACTGTAAATCCTTAAGGATCAGTGTCACCTTATGTGTAACTACTACTCTCCCATATTGTGTCTGTCTGTTTACAGAAAAATGTTTCAATTCTGTTACAACCACAGAGGGGGAAAAAAAAGAGAAAAGAGTGATGAAGATGGAGAGATTTTGTTCTTACTGGGTGCTGCATGATGTAGGGTTGATGAGGCACCCAGGATGGGTTCTGCACCTAGAACATCACACAAACACACTCTGTAAACACAGTGACACCAAACAGCTGCTACTTCCAGAGATCACATGCTTCTGTGGTTGGCACAGCAACAAGCATGAATGGCCACAGTGCCCTCTGTCACATATTTAACCTACACATCTAAAACCCCAAAGGACAGGTTTCTGACTTCTGATAATTCATAAACGAAAATACTTAGAGATTAAGTCAAAACTACATATTCATAATTGAAGAGAAGGATTCAAACCTGGTATGTTGAAACTGGAGACATGTAAGGAGACGTGTGAGCTATCATCCTGTTTGAAATACTGTATGCTGTTGGGAAAAATCTGTGGACACAGAATTAAAGTGTATTTAAAAAAAACAAAACAAAGTTAGTTAGCTGCAATGAAACATATTGACTATGACACTGTAATCTAATATGTTGTTGTAGCTTACCCATTTTGCATAGCAGCTGCACTGGGGTCATATGTGAGTGTCATTCCAGCCTGAGAGCAAAACAAGGCACAGGTTTGGCAACTAAACCGAAGCACGCAACACAACATCATCATACAAAAACTCTTTTGTGTATCTATTGTGCTCAAACCTGAATGAGGGTGCCCTTGACTACACACGACTTTACAATAAACAACACAACATAACCAGGATTATAACAATAAACGTCAGAAGCTGACGACAAGACAAGACAAGAGATCTACAGATATGATACATGTAATTTATTCCTTTAATTGACTCTTCAGCCATACTAAACAACAATAAAGTCACTTTGTAGTGCCTCTGCTTGTAATATTTGTTACACGCTCTGTTGTTTATCATACAGCACCTGGGATTTATGCTTTATTATTCCTATCTGGTCATGAATTGGATTCCGTTAGCCACTAAGACCACTCACACCACCCTGGGCATCACTTACCAGTCTGGAGTCACCGTCCCTTCCCCAACCCCGACCATTCTGGGCAAATTTATTCAGACTTTGTCTCTTTTTCTGTCCACCATCAGCAAACTTGCACAGCAAGGGTTCAGGGGGTGCTAAAGTGAGAGAGGTGGCGAGAGAATAAAATAAGAGGTTTGTCTGAAAAAAAAAAACACACACACACACAGAGTATTGTCTGCCATTGCTTGCTATACAGTCATTCATTCCCTGACGCCTGGGAGTGCACATTTACTAGCCAGCCTGGGAACACAGACGTCTAATTTGGCAGCTGTGGAGCTGTAATCCCCTCCCCTTCCTAAAGGAGGCAAGGCCGGCAGAGACTATTTCAGTCTAATAATCCAATTAAAAAGCTTAGAGAGGGAGTGGAGGCCACACAGAGCAGCTCTCTCTCTCATTTTCTTTGTCTGCACTCTGCCACTTACAGCTGAGTGTATATGAGCTCTTTACCAACAGACTCGCTGACTCCTGTTGGAAGCATGAATCAGTAGGGTGACCACTTCATCGTACCTTTTCAACACCGTCCATTAACATTGTGCACATTATAGTTGTTGCAGGACAAATCCTGTCATTTTCTTTTACATTATTCTGTTCATGGCACGGCGGTTAAGTTAGATAATTTTACATTAAGTTTCTGCAGTGTGTGCCTGTGAATATAAGATAATTACATGTATGTCTTACCTGGAACACCTGCAGGTGTCTTAATAAACTTTCCGTTGAAGTGAGAAATGACTGCATCACATTTTTCAGTTGACTCCATCCTAAAGACACACAAAGCATAACTACATCAGTGATTACTGCAGTTATAAGGGTGAGAAGGTACTTTCCAAGAACTACTTCCTTTCTGGGTGGGTGGAAGGGGTTGTTCATTATATACATAAAAGATTGCAAGCCCAATGTGCACATATGTTGTGGAATCTGCTTGTTTACTGTAGTCTTCACCATTTGAGCCACATGGACCTACTAGTACACACCCACACTTACAAACATTCTTATGACGCAGTATGATATTTTTGCTTTGTCAATCATGATCTTGGCCTTACCTATCAGGTATTTCAGTCAAACATCAGGTTATGCAAGTACAACTGACGGAAGCCAGCATGACCACTATAATTAAATCACCCAGTCATTGTGAAAGTATTTTTTAAAGGAGTTTCCATTTGTCCATGAGCTGTTCTTTCTGCCCTGTTATTGACAACATAGCTATGTGCTTTTAGGTATTAATTTTAGAAATGAAACACATTCTGCTTCGAACTGCGAAACGACTTTTAGGTTGATGAATCAGCAAAAAGTCTGTGTTTAAACTACTTGAAAGCTGAAACATGTAGCATTTTTCTCTCAATCCTTGTTAGCACTTTTGTATCTCAATATAAATATCACATTTCCCACAGATTTCCCCCTTTACTGACATCACTTCCATGTTACTGGTCAAACAGTCATCTATTCCTGTTCTTATTACTGCTGCACAATGGTCTGTTTTGACCTTGAAATGCTGTATGTACAATAAATTACACAAGGATCTGACCTTGCAAAGCCCACTCCTCTGCTGCCGCCACTGGAGTCCCTCAAGATGCGTGTGGATATGACCTGGCCAAAGTGCTTTAACATGTTCTCCAGTTCCTGTTCATCCATAGACAAAGGCAGGTTGGAGATGTACAAGTTTGTTGGGTCTTGTTCCTGTTGCTGTATGGTGGAAAAAAGAGAGAGAGGAAGCCAGAGGTAATGTAATTACACTGAAACACTTGAAACACACCTGGAAAACACAAAAACATTCCTTTGTAGTATCACATTCACACTGGCTTTAGTAGCATGTAGAAGGAGGAAAAGAGGAAGGAGGGATCAGTTTCCTTGCTATTCCATATGATTTACTCTTGCAAATGGCTAAACATTTAATAGACTTCTAATATGGACCCCAGTAATGGGGTTATCATGTGTCTGCTTATGTCTGCTTCTTCCTGTCTTTCTGTGTTGGGGGTTTTAGGTAGTAAAGGGTCACTATGAGCAGTGATAAATAGAGATTTGCATGCAGCCCACGCTGGCTTAAGGCTCACATCAGCTGATTTCTTGCCGTATTTTAATAGCATCAGCAGAAACATAAGACACGGCTACGAGTCCCAGGGGAGCGGCCTCTCACCATTAATATTCATCAGCGTTGTGCTGTTCAGAGTCAGCTAAAGGGAGAGGTTGGATTACTAAAAGTAATACACTGACAGGAAAATCAACATTTCAGAATTCGAAGACGATGAATGAGCCAAAGCCTGCACAGCAGCAGGGACAGGGAAGGTGAACACAGAACAGGAAGCTGATTTCTTTTCTGTTGTTTTACACTTTGTTGCAATATTGTGACATTTTTCTGACATGATCTTTAATGGCACTTCATTTCTATTTCAGACGAATTCATATCTATAAACTCTATCGTCACTTAAAAGAAATCTAAATGTAAGAAAACCGACGGTAAGCGTGGAAAAGCTCAGACAAATGCAGGGACAGAAATATGAGATAAGACAACAGCCTGTGCTTTGAATGGGTCACCACCCATCAGTCAGTCATTAAGTGTGACTGACGCACGCTGATGAAAAGAGGTGTGGCTGATGGAGGGGTGTTACTTTTTGCCTCTCTACAGACACGGGGAGTATGAGATGCTGTAAAAATGATGTGATCTACTACAGTTGTCTTTTTGGCCATTTGACTAAAGGACTCAGATTGTGATTTAAGATGTGTAAATGTAAAATGCAATTCCTAAGAATTATATATATATATATATATATATATATATATATATATATATTTATATATATATATACTTTTAACCTTTACTTAACCAGAGTATATTAGCATTTGTACAATCCACTCCACATTAATACCCAGTAGGTGCCCAGTAGGTGCCCAGTACAGCCTCAGTCCTATGTGTGTAGCTTCATTAGAGCCGTTGGGAGGTTAAACGGTTAGTTCGAGTTTCAGTTTCGGTTTCCTATCGTTGAAAATATTCTAAATATAGGCTCAACTGATATAGATTTTTTTTAGGTGAACCTTTTTTTAAGTGGCTAAAATACATTTTGTTGCTGCTCCTGTCCACGGCAGTGCATTGTTTAGCTTACTTGCTGGTACTCCTGTCTGCTTCTCCAAACTGGGGGCGTGCCAACTGCCATCTATTGTGGGTAATACAGAGACTATGGATAAATACCTTATACAACCCAAGATAAAAAAGTTTTCCACAAGGGCACTACAGTGGTGGTAATGAGGGATGGGCATGTGCTGCTCTTTCACTTCCCCCACACAGATGTAGCTTGATGATCCAGGGATTGGATTGCGACTTTCCGGTCACAAGAAACAATATAAAATATGTTCCTCTATAAATCTTATACAAATGTGCATAAGGTAAATCCCTTGCATGTATACAGACAAAGTGAAGCACATAAGTATCATAAGACATTCATTGAAATAGCATAAGGTAAAAAGAAGGGAAACTCTTATCTGGCTACTTCCCACCACCTGCCATTGAAATAATAATGAGAGAAAGCCCATTGAAGGGTGCCTGGGCAGATAAAAAAACAGGAAAAGGGACCTTTGTCAGAGAGTCCATTAAGCCCAAACAAGCTTCAGCAATAGTGAGAATCAAGCTGGAGTGAAAGGCTCACACTTTATAATGGCATTTACTTTCCACAATACAAAGATTAAACTTCGGCATGCCCCTCGAAGCTGCTCTATTTTAATTAAAAAAGTAAAATGGGTGCACAGAGGCATGTCAAGAAGCTCCACAGATCCTCAGACAGGAAAATGAGGCCAAGGGTTCTAGCTCAGTGCTGTATGGGAACTAATTTCCCCCGACTGGTTCCTGTTACCATAACAACACACAATTATTTACTTCCTTCTCTAATGTCAGTGAGAGCAGATGCCTGAAGTTATACAGTCTACTTTAAAGCCCTTCATCTGACAATCTCCTGTATTACATTGTGAAGAAGCTAGATTTGTAGTATATTAAAACCTTGAATAACCGTCTGTCGACACAAAACTGGGCACCATTAAAGGAACAGTTCCAACAATTTCTTTAACTTGACAATGAGCTATAACTCCAACTTGTCTATTGAAGAAGATACTTTTGTCGTTTTTGTATTTCTTGCACTTGTTTCCCAGTATTTCAAACACATTTGCAGCATGAAGCCTAATTTGCTACATGTTCATTTGTAAGTACAATAATCTTGCAGAGAGATATTAAATGTGTGTGTAATGGTTCTTTTGAGACTATGTCATCCTGTCATCTCTACACCCTGTAGTCAAACTATTGGCTGGGAGCTTTCAGCTGACAGCAAACCTCTGGGAACCATCCATGATATATATAAACACACACACATATACATATACATTATAAACCATATATGAACACATCAGCAAATTAGCAATTAGATTTAATCACTGAGTGACAGCTTTACAAAGAAAGTGGTGCAACACAAATGTGCACAATATTAACACTATATAAATTATTCTATTAATGCAGCAGGAATCAAACTTTATGTAACATGAAAAGGAAATTAAATGAGATGAGACTAGAGAATGAGACAAGAAAGGGAGAGAAAGACATTGATGTTGGACACGTTGTTGAGCAAATGTCACTAGAATACTACAATTAAATGCAGTCACATGCTTACTGTGAATGTCTTGTCAAGTAATTAATATAATATAATATAAATTGTGACCTTACAGTTCATTAGAACTCAGAATCAAATTCAAGTTTAATGAACACAAACCACAACGGCACATCCACTGTTTGTCTGCTGTTACACAATAACCTGATAATGTGTTAATTTACAATTATTGCACATTGTGTGCCTGCAGTAAATCCAGGAGAATATAATCAGCCTTCGTTAACATATCTACACCTCTCATTTGTGCATCACAATTAAACACATGTACAATAAGGACCGAGCTGCACATTACAAACACTTACACTACTGACACGCAAACGGAGACTTGCAACTGCAACAACCTGGTGTCACATTTGCTCCTGAAAATGGATGCAATGTCACTGAACAGTCTATAGACCAAGGGTTTGGGTAGCATACACCCTGCAGCCAAGGATTCAAGTCCTGCTATTTAATACCACAAAGATTAGGTTTAAGTTGCCTGAACAGCCAGATGGAGGAGAGACTGAGTTACTGGGTGAGTTGTATGGATGTGATATCAGGATCAGACTGTAATGAATCCTCACCTTTGCCATCTGAGCCTGGACACCAGTGGTCTTTAGGGCAGCCACAGCTTTCTGAGCTGCAGTGGGGCTGTCAAAGTCCACAAAGCCATATCCTGAGGAGACAAGCAGCACAGTTACAGAGTTAGAAAAGCGCTGAGGATGCAGATACCAGTGTGACATTCATGGCTCAGGTCAGCTCTTTGTCCTGCGGGGTACAAACAGGGTGAACCTATAGTCCCTAACCTATGGTGCAGTGGCTATATTTAACTTATTCAAGATAAGTTATGGTGAATATGTCAGGGCTCTTTCAGCTGAGAAATGGGATGCATTGGTACTAAAAGTTTAATGTGAATCCTTATTAGTTATTTCTATAAATTCTTATTATTAATAATAATAATAATAATAATAAAACAATAATGACTTTAAAGTATTTTGTGAAACTCAAGGTTTCTCAAGGTTATTGCTAGAGCCATCTCTGGCTTCTATTTGACATTCAGTCAGAGCTTTACAAGGTCTTTAACGGTGTCTTCTTTCACAGAGAGCCTTCGATTAACCTGCATCTGTATAATCCAGAAGAGAGTGACAAAGCATTCTCTTAATCCCATCAGCACTAGAGAGAATCAGTAAGTCCCTCTTTAGTCAGATAGGCAGTCTACTAGAACTGGACCAAGAGCAACACTGTCACTCAGCAGGAAGAGGAGGAGTCACCCACTTCTTCCCAGGAACCACCCACAGCAGTGACACACCAACAGACAAGTGGGCTGAGGCTTAAAATAACATGAGCTGGGAGGCAGCTTTGAGCAGCCTGGCTGTCTGTTTCCTGACTTGCCCGGATCATCTGAGACAACTGCATAGCTGCTGAATGACTTAATGTTTTGATAGCTTTCACACACTGGATGTCTACCAATTTAGGAGAAAACGTAGAAGCGATATTCTCTCTTTCAGTGAGGTGTTGAAAATCCTGCAGGGCAGTTCATACGATTTATTGATACATACTTAATTAGAGGAAAGATAAATGAGGGCGGTGTTGGAAAAAAAAACTACTTTACACACCTTTACATTTGTTTGTAGCCTTGTCCAGGATGGCCTTTGTTGATACAATTTTGCCATACCTAGAGGAGGAGCAGAAAGGCGAGGCACTGTTAGCTGGATTGTGTACCAGACGGAGCCAGTTATAAAACACACAGAGAGGGAGGGTTGAGCAACAATCTATGACATCACTGTGAAAATATGAGAAACAGGAAGTGGTTTCCATGGGGTTCTGAAAATCCCCACCATGTGAGTGCAAAGCTAAACAGTTCATTTTTCTTTAGCCACACTAAAGCACTGAATCAAACTTTGTACAGAGAAGCCAAAAAAGTTGCTCTTAAGTGAAGTCAGGTCACTTGGACAGTTGGGATTTTCAAAGTAAATTAAAGTTCTGACTTATTACAGTAAAATGTTGTCACAGATTACAACTTGTTTTTCCACTTACAGATGCTCTCAAAACATTGAGATTCTGACATTCAAAAGTCTGGTCTGGTTTATGTTGTTGCCATGGTTTCAACAGAGCTATCATGGTATGCGACCAGACCACAGGAAGTGCTGACAGTAACATCATAAGAGTACCATGTAACTATAGTGTCACTTCTTAAAATTTTTTTTTTTTTTTTTTTTTTTTAAGAACACAGTACTGAGATAAATAGATTTAAAAAAAAATGGCCATCTGAGTCTCAACTGTGTATTTTTGGTGCTGATGTTTAGAAAATGTAATGCTTTTATAGGTATTTATATTAGGGCTGCACAATATGTTTAAAACTTTAAAATAAAAAAAATGCAGTGCCACTACTGTACTGCAATACTTCATTATAATGCCGTTGTCACATATTTTATCTTCATCAATCAATTGCACACACACACTGTACCCTGCAGTCAACTAGGAGGATATTTTAGCCTGGGATTAGGCTAAATGCTAAACTGGGTGAAAGAGCATGAACTTATGACCTTTCCTTCATCTGAACTCTGGCTATAGCATGTTTGCTCTTACACTATCATCAAAACCTACATTTACTTGTACTGTACATGTACAAGCTTCAGGGTTATTCAGTGTGACCCTGTGAGGCATTTTGAGAGCACAAGAAAAAAGAAAGTTAACAGTTTTGAATAGGAAAATGACAAAACAGCACTATACTTTAGTCGCATTTGTAGTGTGAAGTATTTCTGTACATTAAAAGGGGAAAGGGGTTGCATTTAGGTTGCAATGGCATACAAGGGCGCTTGGAAACTCTTCAATCTAAAGTTTAGTTTAGACTTTTTTTTAATGTTGTTTTTTTATTAATCTAACACGGCTCAGGCCAATTTCAATATATAATATATTTCTAAACAGCCAAAGAATGAATTGGCAGCTTTGTGTTGCAAAATCAGTGCCACATTGTGAAGATGGGGCCCAAGAAAAAACCCAAATTAAATCTATGAGGCCCCAGGGTGGTCTCTCTGCTTGGAAAATATAAAGCATCAGCACACACAAAGAGAGCTGTGGTCGATCCCAGTGCTGACAGTATCTCTCCTTTATCCACATACATGATATATGACATCTCTCCTGCTGTCATCATCATCCACACTCTGCCCTTGTGTGGTCTTCAAGAACATTTTTCATGTCATATTCAAATGAAGCCTGCAATACTGCCGGGTTTGTTATAATCTCAAATATATATACATATGAATCCATAGGTGTCTCATCATGCTCTCTGCATGATTTAAAACTACTCTATTGGTTAGAAAAAGCTGATTAAATATTGAATACTTTTTTTGGAAGATAATTAAACGGACCTGTAGGGCTGTCATTCAAAGTCAGCTTAATAAAAAGGAATGTAGTATAACAATAAATTACAACAAAGACTATACTATATACTATAGCATGCAATTGTATTGGTAAAATGGCATATTCATATATTACTGTTCACTGTGTTAATTGTAACACCTTGTTTCAATAAATGACAAAATTTAAACTAGATTCTAAAACTAAGTAGGCCAAAAAATCAATGGCTGATCAATAGCAGATAATAATGAGCGGAAGTGTGGTACTCACGGCTGACAGAGCTTGACCAGGTCATGGTCTGTGGTTGAAGGGGACAGGCCTCGAATGTAGAGGTTTGTTTTGCTGAGCTGGTCCCAGCCTGCAGTGCTACCGCTGCTGCTGTTGTTGGTGCTGTTAGTACTCGGGCTGGGTGGAGCCATTGGGTGTGATGATGAGGCAACAAGTGGCTGCAATAAGCAGGGAAATTACATAAAAATTAGGTTAAATGAAAGTTCAGGCTGGATGGTAAATAATATTGTTTATCCTGTTGATCCTGAAATGTTCTGTAGGGCTGAGGGAAGATCTAAGTCACTACAAATGACCCCTTTCACATGCACATCATCATCTAGTCCATTGTTAATTCAACAATATTAATTAGAGCAGCTATAAGTAACACAAAACCTTGACCATGTCAGGACAAAACCGAAACTTGGTGCAAAATATCTGTACTTAGGGTTAGGGTTATAGTCACATAGTCACGATATAAGATAAATTGCCTGGACTCCATCATTAGTGTCATGTGATTTTTAAGTCCAGTGTAATGATTAATATTTTACAGAGCAGTGATCCATATCGGGTAACAATCTCCATCCCACCGTCGCTGTCAGCACAATCAAGGTCCACAGGGGCTTGTAGCTCTGACATCAGTGTCACAATGATGCCACACAAGCTCAATGTGTCGAATAAGCTCTTCGCAGGTCAGCATAAACAATCCTCTCTGCTGAAGCGCCAGACTTCTTAACCTTAGCAACTCTAATAATGAGTAGAAGTATTTATACGTTCAGAATGGTTTGAGTGACTGTGTCTCTTTTTTCCTATTAGGCAAAAAAAAACAATTGTTAAGAAATTACTATTTTTGCTTCCAGGTTATATAAAACACAGTCAAACAACTGGCACTATGATTTTCACGTGGTATTGAGTTTGGGTTAATTATCTAGTATTGCTTATACTGGCTGCGTAAAGCCTGTCAATCTGAGGGCAAGGGGGAGGAGAGAGTCAATATCCTTCAGTGATTGAGCAACTTTGTACTTTATGTTTACAAGAAACAGATGTCCTAGTCTGAGAGAGCCGTCCCCTCCAGGGATTTGTCTTCTCCTCTACTATCCCACACTGATTACCCCCACCCCCAGACCCCCCTCACGAGGAATCACAAGCTGAGAGGAAGCTGATGGAATCCGAAGCATGAAGTGGTGACAGGATTGAGCAACCCGAGTCTGGACTCCAGCCTAGAGGATCTTCTGTTGTGACCGACTGGTCGACTGCCTCACACCAGTTTGACCTACTGTTTTCCAACTCATTGGTGGAATAAATGCTCTACCTTCTGTCAGTGAACTGCTCTTTTTTTGAGCATGGTCTATGTCACAAAGTTAAAATTATTATTATACGCTTTCTGTGTATGGCGCAAACAAAACTAATGGTGAAGTATTACCCAGGGAAATTTAATAAAAACCGAAGAGTATGGCCTCACTCTTTTGTTGCTACGAAAGAATAAGTGACATAAGAGTAATCAAGAAATATTTTCCAGTGGATGTCTGCATCAACAGACTGAACAAATGTGAAATACGTCAAAGTTGCTCTTATGACTAGCCCTTACTGTCCCCAGATTTTTGGGAAGTTATTACCAGGAAACATGAATCACATTTGACTACAGGCCAAAATCTTACTAAACATTAATTACCAAAGAAACATGAATGACTTCCTAAGTTACAGTGACTAAAACTCCAGTTTGGCACCAAATGGGAAAAACTTCCTCACTGTTGTGCCAATGTAATAGTGGCGGGAGCTTTGTGTGTCATCATCATACTATTTCAGTCTTGAGGTACTGCACCTCCTTTAACATGGAAAGTGTGTCTCTCAGGCTTCAGAGATAAAAAAAAAAAGTACATTTCCTACCAATATCTTTATAATGTTAGCAACTAGAACAAAAGAAGTAATAACTTGAACTGTAAAGCAGGAGAAAAACAAACACAACCAAATGTGGGAACTCACATAAAAGCTTTTAGATCTAAAAAAAAAAAAAAAAAAACCCTCCATGTTGCATTTGTATTTAAGTTTGACATTTAAAAGCCACTGTTGTCAAAGAATTAAAAGCACCTGTGAGCTGTAAATTAGTTAAATAACATGGCAAATAATGACTTTTACTAAATAAATGAGACATGCAATATATACATTACAATAATAGTTTATAACATATGTCCAAGCCCAACAAGATAAGCCAGTCTTTAAAAGAAAAAGTTAACCTTTTCTGGGGGGGACTGACAGGGAATTTTGTCTTCATACATTTGCCTGATACTCAGCCACAGGACTGTAAGAGACTGTGATGGGGAGAGGACGGCATCTTATCAGACAGCTCCAGACCAGCAGAGTCTGTCATATCCGAGCTGGAAATACACAGGGCTTCCAGTAACAGGCCTCGCCCAATGGAGCTCTAGCCACAGGATAACAGCATGAGCGCGACAGAGTAAATATGCTTATTTAAATCTTATGGCTAAAGGGGAGTTTAAAAAAAAAAAAATCTATATGTAACTGGGCCAAAGTGAATGCATCAGTGGACAATTAGTTTTCTTTACTGTACAAGTCTGTACAAAAGAGAGAAACCTAATATGGCAAGCAAATAGGGTGTGTGGATTACATTTTAAGGGAAAGAATACTCTAAAGTATTTAAGGTAACCAATGGCTTATATCACTGAGAGTGAGTTTGATATATAAAAGCAGAAACCAACCACAACCTTACCTGGTCCGAAGTTAACAAGAATATAACACTGTGGATATTATTTTTAAAAACTTCTGTTTTGGTTGAGTTTCGGTGAAGTGGTGCTCATTGCCAGCTCATGTGTACTTCCCATGTCTCATAAGTGATGCTTGGGATTGAAAGGAGATTATTTTTTTCTTTCTGTGTGGTCAGTATAGCCATTACATCAACTGGAGTCAAAGGCCTGTATCTCTATCTCTATCTCTCTCTCTCTCTGTCTCTCTCTCTCTCCCCAGCAGTATCGGACTTGGACCACAGCCCGAGCAGCAGGTATTCTCATTATGCAAAAAAAAAAAAAAGCCTATCTGAATCCGACATCACACACACAGGAGCACAACACTGCCATTTCAAAATTACATAAGTGAACCAAAAGTTAGTTTCATTTCTATTAGAGAGTCTAAGTTTATTCTAGCTGCTGTCAAAGGGTTAGGTTTCTTCTTTTTTTTTGCGACTTCCATGAAGTCAGCTCTGTGTACATTATGTCTTAAAGGCTGGTTGATAAATATTAGCGTTGCTATTTACCTGTTTGCGATACGGAGTCCTTAGTGGGTTTCCAGTATTAGCAAAAATCATCCTCAGTTCGAATAGGGAGGGTAGTTTTTCTCAGTAAAGCTACAATTGTCTGGCGAAATACATCAAACTCCTCGTATAAGTAGAAAATTATCTGACATGGAAATCCTCCTTACTCCGCTAAAGGACACAAAAATAGGATTCTATACATATTAGTTGTATACATATCCCTATTGTCGTCGACTATCCGGCAACAGAAACCTCCGTAAATTGTCCCAACTTCGATTGCCCAGCCCCGTTTGTTTGACTGGCTTCATTGATTTGCAGTCAGACGCTGCGCAGGACAGACGCTGCTACGGTGGGAGAAACCATTTTACCCTTTTGGTGGAGGGGTGGCGTTATGACAGTGGTGCCAAAAATACATGACAGTTTGCATCTGTTTGCTCCAATTACGATTGAAAAGTATTTTTTTTGTATAGCAAAAATACACCCGGGTATTTGCGGTTATCTGCTAGTTTCACTTTTATCTGAACACATAATATAAAAACACTGTGACCACCCCTTTTGCTAATGTATTAAATTATACATACCAAACATTCCACCTTGCGACTGGGTGCACATATATATATGTATATATAATTAAAAACATTACATCAATAAGGAGTGTAATGGGACACTATTTTGGTTTACAATGAAGTAAAGCATACCCAATTTACAAAAGGACACATTTCCCAATTAAATGAACAGTATATGGGCCAATACAATGGCGATGAATGCAATTTCACTTGTGGCACAAAGTCAATAAGTTTTAATTAATCACAATTATAATAAATTACTTCCTACCTCAAGGTAAAAACATTGCATTTTACCAATCCAGAAAATTCTAAAAGCTGTTAATGGTCTCAGTATATTATCTCTTAGAATAATATAAAAACTTTTTTCTTTCACTTATTTCAGTGAAGTGATCTGATCCTTTAAAGATTGGCTTTTGTAGTAGAGTAAAATTCTGTTGAAAGGGGAGGTTTGTGTGCACTAGGACCCACTTAATGTGACTGACGGGTGGTTTTGGTGGCGGTGGTAGTGTGTTTGTGTGTGTTTGTGTGTAAGGGGGGTGGGGGGGTCTTTATTGGAGCAAGTAAGAGGGGCAGGCTGGGCTATAAATCAAAGGCAATCTACCCACCACTGTCACCTGCTGATTAGAAAACCAACACTGGTGGCAGAAAATGTGAATTAATGGCGACCTTCAGCAAACCACAATCACCATGCTATAACCACTGTCTCGTTCTGCCTTTATAGTCGAGTTGAACCAGTTGTGTGATCGCTACTGTCAGCTAGAACAAAGAAGACTGATACGATCCACATTAAATATCATCCTGCATGGTTAAAGACCTGTTATCTCTTTCTTCAACTATTTTACCCACACATGTGCACTGTGGTAACAGCCAGAACCAACATAGCAGACAGACCCTCTAATTGAGGCTCTGCTTTAGCTGTATAATGAAATACTGTGTCCCTAAAGCGTCACAGAAATTATCCTTGTGAGTCCACTATGATGTCAGCGTCCTTTTATTGAGGGGCACTGGCACGTGTATACATAGGTGTGATATGCTGTTCCTAAATGAAAGCAAAGGTCACTAGTAGAGCATGTTGAAAAGTTCACCAGGCCAACAGGAGTCACTGAGGGTCAGCATTAGAGGAAAGGGAGAGAGATCTGATTCAGCACTCTGCTCAGGGTACTAAAGGGGGGGGTAGACAGTGAGTCAATTGAACCACCACCTTTTATGAAACAGTGAAAGGAAAGGTTATCTCTGATCCTTTTGTTTGAGTAGCACTATAACTAAATAAACCTACACATGTATAGAATAATATTAGTAATTAATGTTATTATCGCAGATCTTTTTGAGCCCATAATCAAACAATTTCCCCTGGTTTCCATTTCACAAACCAGACCCGGAAGGAATATATCATTTAAAGGCAAAACCTACCATTAAATCACTTCAAGTGGGTTGTTTTGATATGAAAGCGCAGTCTTTGCCAACACAGGAGCAAATATCCAGAGAGCATGCCGTTCCCCTGAAGGAGATCGCCTTTCATTATAGATGCAGGTTTAATTGCACATGCATAATCCCTCAAACAGGCACAAACATGCATCAATGCAAAGATTACAAGATCACTAAGACACAAACCCATGTACACACTGATACACAGATTCACATTCACGCACACACAGTGGGTATTTCCAAGGGAAATAAGAGAGTGAGGTTATTTTAGGACATCGTGCTACTTGTTGTCAGTGTTCCCTGAACTAATGTAAACAGTCAGTCAGAAAACAACTCTAAAATATGTGAAGAAAGCGATACTTTCTGTTTTGTCCTCACAAATCATAACAACAATTAGTCTCACAGCTCATTCTGTGAAAGGCAGAGAGAGAGAAACGTTTCTCCTCCCTTCCTCCCTGCATCAGATTCCTGAGAATTAGTCAGTGTTGCGCAGTTTTAGAAGCTTCAGGAAGCTTTCACTAACGGCTCCGTGCCTTCCTGCCTCGATGGAAGGTTTTGGTTGGGGCGTGTAACCCCTCTTTGGCAGCAGCAGATTCATTTCCCCTGACTCTTGACTATAAGCTAGCCACAAAAGAGAGCTGTGGGTGCCTATGTGTGTGTGTCACACACACAAAAAAAAGGCCACATTCACAACTCTGGTCTTTAATTAAGATACTGATGTGGGAGTGGTGTTCATGACGGCTCTGTTCAGTTATCCATAAATGAACTGGTTCTGTGCAATAATGAACATTTAATAACTAAGACATATATTATAGATCATGGTTAGATGTTTAAAATGACTAGAGTCATAGTCTTTATAACAGGATCATTTGGAGTCCCTCACCATGTGGTACATAATCTGTATTTGAATGAAGAACATGGGTATCATCACACTAGTGAGGGCAGCATTGTATTCATTATTTTGTGTATATTATTATTATTTTGAGGTATACAGAATTCTAAAACTTGGAACCTATCTATTGAAACAAATATATAAAACAATGTGACAAAGCAATTTAGCAATCAAGAAACAGGAAACCATCCAAAGTGAAATGTTAATTCTTAGTTATTTCTTCTGAAAAGACATGTTAAAGCTTTGATGATAAATGACAGTTCAGTTTTATTGATCCTTGGCATCACCTTCCTTATAACCACTTTATGAGGTGATATAAAAACATAATAAAGAAAGGGTTATAAATACAAATGACACATTATAAACCTAGATGATATTGCACAATGTAATCTGAATTTTGAGTGTCGGCTTATAAAATTATCCGCACAGTGGTTTGTATTCATATTTCTCGCTGACATTTTTATACACATATTTGAACCAATACTGAATACTTCCTAATATATGTGAGGAAATACTTGACAGCAGCAGGAAAGGTGTTATTGTGCAGCTTGGCCCTCATTTTGCTCATGTCAAATGTCCCGAGAATGAGAGTCATATGTGTACAAAAGGCAGTTCTTTCAGGCCTGACACTGACATAAAGAGCAGCGCCACTGGGCTGTTTCATTGTGTACATTCTGCTGCCAGGCAACTCTCCTAACTTTATTGTAAACATTGTATGGTGCTGTTCAACCTCAGCATAATGCCATTGTTCACATTCTCACTGTGACAGTTAATGCATTCACCTTGACAATGATTTAAAGTTTACACTGGCGGATGCAGTCATTAACTATCAACAAATATCACCAAATCATCACTTATTTGCTAAGAGCTTATTATCTCGGAATAATAATTAATAAAAGCAGAATTAAAACAGCACAGTCCATCCTCCAGAAACGGCATTTACAGTTGTTATGCCTAAAAATGGTCAAATTCCATATTAAGATAAATACATTTATTTTAATGAGGCAAACCAGGAAAGTCCAATGCGGAATGAAATTCATGGGGATCACAGAAGGAGCCTAGGACACAATAACATTTTATCAGTTAATATGTAACTATAATAATAATAATAAACTTCATTTATGCAGCACTTCTTAAAACAAAGTGACAAAGTGCCTTACATAGCTTGAACCAGGATTAAAACATTTAAGGAGGCACTAGGCAAAAAAAATAAAAAAATAAAAACAGTTAATTATTGAAATCATATAGAAGTAAGGTAGAATAAAAGATAATAAAAGACCCCCATCAGTAAAAATAAATACTAAGTTAGATAACTTACATATTGTAAAATTAACCACATTGGGGGAAAAATATAGTTGAAAATATACAAATTAAAGAATAACATACCCATAACTGATATATGATAAGAACAATAATACTAAGAAAATTTGAGACATTAAGCAGCGTGCTAGAATAAATTAAAGTAAATGGATGTTATTCAATATTGAGGTCACTGTCAAATATTACGCCCAGGGTTCTGGCTACAGGTTTGATATTTGACTTTTGTATTAAAGCTGCAGTAGGTAACGTTTATAAAAATAACTTTTTGTCATATCTACTGAAACTTTAACTATATGCTGACAGAAGTACTCGAGACAGACAATCTGTGAAAAAATCAGGTTCCTCTGGTGCTCCTAATGGCATTTGCAAGAATCACTTGGCCTGAACGAAAACAACCAATCAGAACCAAGAAAGATAGAGAGACACTTTGGGTGCTGACTTGAAGATAGTTGATTGATGAGTCACATTCCTAGGTCATGAAATACCGACACTAGGTATGAGACTCAATAATAATAATGGTTGTTTTCGTTCAGGTCCGGTGGATTCTTGCAAATGCCATTAGAATCACTAGGAGGAGCCAGAGGAACTTAATTTTTTTTTCACTGATTATATATCTAGTGTACTACTTTCAGGAAATAGTGAACATTTCAGCAAATGTGACAAAAAGTTATTTTTATAAAGGTTTCCTACTGCTTTAAAGCATCAGAAATCCCCCTAAAACCCAGACTGGTTTCATGGGCTGTACTGTAATACACAAATGCTTTGTTTGACCATCTGGGAAACAGTTGAATGATCTTAGAGGAATCCTACCATCCATTATAATCATAAGAAGAGGCATGAATGAATGGCCCCATTCTATAGTCCATTCACGCAGAACCCCTCAGGATGTGTGTTTAAGGGTGCACCAAAAAGAACGATTTCCCCTACTTTCAATGTTGGATAACTGATAGTGTGTTCTCAGTGCTCTGTGTTTCCTGTCTCTGGTAGAAATAGTCTATCTGGAGCCGTAAGTCTCCTGCTGATAAAAATTTCATGAGCTTGAGTAATGAAGAGCACTAGAGGGCTCCTAATGTGAGCCGAGATGCCTGCAGGTCAGCTAGGGACTTTTTTCTTA